ACAGTAAAATTCAAGCACTTTCAAGCATCTGTAAGGTAAGTCTCAAACTTTTTCTGCACCGCACTTTGGAGATTAAAAAAAAAAAAAAAAAAAAAGTTAAGACAAAAATGTGTGTGGAAAAGTCTCTGACACACAGCCTGTGCAGATACTAGTCAGGACTAAACAAAGAAAACCCTCAATTTTAATCATGTTTACAGTATAAAACATAAGGTAAACATGATGAATTACACCGATCAATAAATCACAGAGCCATTAGGAATCATAAATATTCATTACTGAAACAATCCAAACAAAGTGTGCTAATATAAATGACCTTCCTGCTCAAATTAAATGCTTCAACATAATGTACAAAGAAAGTTATGAAAAAAAAATCTCTTGCTAATTTTTCTGGGATTTAGCAAATAGAAATAATTTTGGTGATTCTAACTGATCTAAAAGAAAAACTAGTTGATTAACTTCAGACAGTGATTTTTTTTAAAATTTTATTAGGTGTATGGAAATATTTTGTTTCAACTTTAAATAACATTTTTTACATTTAGTGTTTTAATCAAGCATTAAGTTGCACTTTATTACAAAACGGTGCAGTTTGAATATCAATCACTTTCAATGACTTGAACCAGAAATCAATTACACTTCAAACCTTTAAAGCACCTAACTGAAATTCAAGCGCCCATAAAAACTCTGTCTACATTCTTAATACTTCTTTTTTTTAATCTTTGTGTGAACCTAAATGCCTCAAAGCTGCTGTCATTACAAAAAAAAGCTTTAAAATGAAATCAGAATCATTTCCCCTCCTTCATTTTGTTCTTGGAACAAAAGTCCTGCTGTTTTCCAGTTAGTAGCAGCAAAAAAGTGACATAAAACTGAACCTAGTTTGTACTCAGTTTGCCTTTAAAAATCACTTTACACTTTAGTAACAAAGTCACATGCAGCTGATGAAACAATCTAGGTTTACCACATCACATGTGTGCAACAAAAACTGGTTCTATGCAGTGGTTAATAATAATTCAGCTTTATGTAATATGTTTAATAGTCACGATTAGTGGGATTTCCTGTTTACTGCTGTAGTCGCTGTGTGTTTTGTGCTTTTTAAATTAGTGCATGTCTGCATACCTCGAGGCTTCCTCTTTTGGAAGGGTTTAGGATCAGGAACTTCTTCAGTAAGTTCTCACAGTCGGTAGACATGTAGAAAGGAATCCTGTATTTACCACGCAGCACACGCTCTCTCAACTCCTGCACAGCAACAAGAGCATCAAAGGTTAAGGGTTAATTCAACATATTTAGTCCATCTTTAACCTGGCAGTCAGGTCTGTCCAGACGGGCCTTAAAAGTTGTGTTTACTTGAAAAGAAACAAGGGAATCTGTCCAAGTAGAAGACAAAAAGAAGTCGCTTCAAAAACAGTTTTTTAAAAAAAAATTTTATGTACTGCTTGAGTATTTGGACAATTACTTGATTTTTGTTCTTCTTCCATACAATAAAAACAATCAGAAGCTGTTAGAGTTAAAATCTTCTGGCTTTTAGATACAATCTGAAAAGAACCAAGAAAGTAAAATTAGAAAGATTCAAACGAGTTTTTTTTCTTATTATTATTGTTAAATATGCAGCTACAACTAGAATCCACACAAGCCTAGATGGTGCATCTTCGAACCCACATGTGGTCAACAGCAGGAAGTGAAACTCAAGGTCACCGTTATGTCATGTTTATGTGGCACAAAGTCATGGAATACAAATACAAATTCACACAAACTGATGATTTAAAAAAAGTAAAGTAAAATATTAAAATGTCATCAATTTGTATTTTTAATTATAACCAACATTAAGTGTTTGTTGATCTTTTTCTGGTTTTTTTTTTTGTTTGTGGTTGTTTTTCTTCTTTTTGTTGTTATTTTTGTTTAAATGTTCAACAAAATGCTACTGGGTAAAAATACCATCAGTTACTATATCTGTGTTAATAGGATTTATTGAACTTTTTCTGAAAGTGAAAAATGTTCACACTTAAATAGAAAAATTTAAAGTGTCTACATTTTTCAAAGTGAAATTTTGCATTATTTTGGTCTATTTTCAAGTGCAAATATATTAGTACACTTGAAATAAGTATAAAGTTACTTGTCAGTAACTTTTCAGTAAGATATAGGAGTTTGTTTTAAGGTCAATCATTCGTTAATATTGATGAAAAAAAGTACAAATTCCACTAGCAAATTATTTCACTTATAACATTGGAAAAATGCCTTTTAAGTGAAATAATGCGCCAATGGAACAAGAACTTTTTCTTCATTATTAAGGAATTATTTACTGAAAATAAACTCTTATATCTTGCTGAAAAGATACTTGTGTCTTTTGTCTAATTTCAGTTGCACAAAGATGTTTGCACTAGAAACTGGACAAATACTTGGTAATATTTTGTGTTTTGCAGCGTGCTACTGCGATGAAGACTAATTTATTTTAAAAATGTGTCCGGCCCTTTATTCAGTTTGCTCTTCATTTTGGATTTATTGGGCCAAACGGAGCAGAAACTAGCCTGATAAATCCAGCAACCGCCCACCGAATGCAGACGACTGATTGTGTAACGCACAGAAAACACACACACAAAAAAAAGTCTTCCCGTCCCAACCTTGAGGTTTTGTCCATCGAAGGGCAGCGAGCCGCTGACCAGCGTGTAGAGGATGACCCCCAGGCTCCAGACGTCCACTTCGGGCCCGTCGTACTTCTTGCCCTGGAAGAGCTCTGGAGCGGCGTAGGGCGGGGAGCCGCAGAACGTGTCCAGCTTGTTCCCCAACGTAAACTCATTACTGAAGCCAAAATCTGCTATCTTGATGTTCATATCTGCGTCCAGCAGCAGGTTTTCTGCCTGCAGTCAGAGAGGCGTGGGAACAGAGGAGGAGGAGGAGACAGATGGACCAGAAAGTGAGGCACAGAAGAGGGTTCGTTTGTCCAAAAAAGTGCATCGAGCTGGAAATTAAGCTTGCTCTGCTTCATCTGAATGATTTATTTAGACTAAATCTTTTATTCTTCGTTTTTCATGCAAACTGCAACAACAGAGAGAGTCTCACTGTCTTGCAAATGAGTTTAAAAACTATAGTAATAATAATAATAATAATAATGATAATAATAATAATGATGATGATGATGTTGGATCAAACACGTGCTTTCAAAGTGATGGTCTGAGGCAAAGTGAGCTGCCGGTGCTTATACCTTCATGTGCGCCTTTTTATCTTTAAGCCTGAAGTGAACCACCGAGTAAGGAGGCTGGGTTGCCTAGCAACAGGTGTGCTCTCCTTTTCACTCGCTCTGAATGCTCGGCAGCTTCTGTGCGTTTCTGGGTGAATGAGTGTTAACTACAAAACGGACATCGTCTCAGAGCTCTGAGCCCCAAAAGGAATGAGAGCAATTTCTGCTCCTTTAAACGGCGCCGGGTGGGATTCTGGTGGGGAGACCCGTCAATCACACTGAGGTTTCGCACCATTACTACAAAACTGTGGCACAAAAAAACATTTCTAACTTGATCCAATTACTTTGAGAACAACATGACTAAGACTTTATTTATGCTGACTTGTTGTTTTAATGCTAATGAATATGGATGTGTGTGAAGAGACCAACTGAGTTATAAAATTAAAACCAAAAAAAGGGATGAAATATTAAGTCAAATATTACGAAATATAAAGTCAGAATGAGCGCAAGCAGCTTCTTCCAATAGATGGTGTGAAAAGGAAGATTTAAACACTGATGGAATTAAAAAAAAAGTTAGCAAAGGTGACAAACATGCTGTTTTACATATAATTTCTGTCTAAAAACCTCACTCTGTTGGTAGTTTTACTAAATTTCAACATAAGTTAATTGAGAAATGATCATTTATATATAAAAGTAGAACAGCTGATTTGTGTACTTGCATATTTTAATGCATTTCTGGCATTGTATTAAGAACCTGCTGTGCCAATTATTTTTATCCGATTCATTATCAGAAAAATCAATAACTAAAATAATCATTAGTTGATCTAGAATATAGTTCAGGACAAGAAAAATATCGCATAATAAACATTCTCAGCTTTAAATAAATCTTCATATTTTCTGCATTATTTTGGTTTTGTTTCTTTTAACGATTATAAAGTTCAGAAAACCAGAAATCACTTCATACCCTTTTAGTTTTAGGAGACTCAACATTCTTCAAAAGCAAAACGTTGAGTTTTGTCTCAGTGTGGGGCGGAGGGGGGTTTCTTTCAGGTTATCGTGGCAGTAATCACGATAATGTCTACACGTCTGCCTTCTGGCACAATAAGAGGATTTAAAAAGCGCCATAATATGATGAACTGAAACGACCCCGAGGCTCGGATCAGCGTGTGCAAAGCTGCGGCGGAGGTTTTGCCCCCAAATTCTGTGAATCAAACAGAAATAACCCAAACAATTTTCCTAAAACGCACAAAACGTGGCGATCAAAAAGAGAGACGTGGACGAGAACACGGAGAGGTTATATCATCTTTGTTGTTAAGCTCAGGGCCACTTGGTGGAGGGGCGGGGGGCAGCGCTTAATCCAAAATTAAAATCATATGAGGTTTAATGTGTTCAGAGAGACGGGGATGCTTCTTTTCACACAGAAAAACGCTTGTTCAGTAACGTGTGTGTGTGTGTGTGTGTGTGTGTGTGTGTGTGTGTGTCTGCGCGCTCACCTTGAGGTCTCTGTGTACTATACATTTCTGATGACAATACTGCACTGCTGACACAATCTGGAGAATGACAGAGTGGGTGGAAGGGAGAGGGAGAGAGAGAGGACAACAAGACGTTCAGGGTGAAAGAGTTGCATAATTAAGTAAACGGCAGAATGCTTCATTAGGAATTAATCAGGAAGCATTTATGAGGAACAAGAATGGACTCAAGGTTTGCCACAGAAATGTTGCTTAAAAAAAAGAGCTTGAATTCATGCAACGCCATTTCCTGGACAGCGTCTTGCAAAAGTATTCATACCTCTAGAACATTGAATTTATCAATTCATCCAATTTTGTTTTTGGAGATTTAATTTTAGGAACATCTGATCCCCACGAACCCGCCCGAATACAGAACATACAGATATTTTCCTTTTTTGTATTCAGACTTGAAAAACTGTGAATTCAAATCCCAGACTTTTCCAGATTTAGTAGGAACTTGTGATAAACAAAACTGAAAAAACTGGGACATGGAATCAAGATGATAAAATATTTATTTTTTACAAACTAAACATCTGAAATGTGTGGTGTGAACTTGCATTTGTTCCCTTTTTAATTCCAAGCCCCTAAACAAAATCCAAAATATCAAATTACCATTAAAAGCTATGGACGTTTGTTGATTAAATATGAAAGGATTTGAGAATGAATACTTCACAAGGCGCTGTCGTTTCCTTTAAAGGAAACCAAGATAAAACAACATCTCAGACACAAGGATCTTCACCTGTCTGAATTTGGCACGTGCTTCTTTTTCCTTCATCCTGCCGTGGGCCACCAGATAATCAAAGACCTCTCCTGAGAGAGAGAAAAAAAAAAAAATAAGGCAAACAGATTTAGTGCTGCAACCAAAAGCTGTACAGTTGAGATGTCCTGTTCTTTTTAGACTTATTTTTTCAATGGGTAAAAGACTAAACCCTTAATCCCAGCACTGATTCAGAGGAGGGAACAGCCCAAAACATTAATTACTTTCTGTTAGATAGCTGGTTACGTAACGCGCAGAGATCCAAGCTGCTGGGTCAATAATTTCCCAGAGACATGTGCTTACCTCCGCTGGCGTACTCCATTACCAGGTACAAAGTCTTCTCCGTCTCTATCACCTCAAAGAGCTTGACTGGAGGCAGAAAAAAGAAAAAACTATTTTTAAAAAAAGGAGGACGAGAGAGAAGATAAACAACAACAAAAAAAGTACAGGATGTAGACTCTCTCTAAAGTAGACGTCATGACCTTCAAAGATCAATCAGGCGTGGTCATTTCTCAGCGATTGACGACAGAACGGACCGTGGTGCTTCAGGGTGACTCACCTATGTTGGGATGGTTCAGCATCTTCATGATCCTCACCTCCCGAAACAGCTGCGGCAAACACAGACAAACAAGTCGTCAATCAGCAACACAGAGCGACGGCGCACGACTGTCTGATCCGCTTGTTTTCTCCACATCGATTCATTTAAATCTGCGGTTCAAACTAATCATCATCCAGGCACAAACCTCCAGGGTTCTCAGACTATTTAACAGATTTTTAAAAGTATAAAAGATGAAAGTTAACAATGGATGGAGAGGTAACTGGGCAGTGGATAAAGACAAAAACATTTTTCTTTTTTTATGCTAATCCAAATGTGGATGGTTCTTGACTAATTCCAGAGTTTTCCAGGCTTTCCAGGATGGCTATAATGGAAAAATTTGCAGGAGAGAAAAAGAAAGCAAACATCTAGTTCCTGTATATAGGCATAGGGTGGAAGAAGAGTCGCTCAAGATTCAAGCTATGCTGCTTGTATCATCTGCTGTAAACGAGTCAATAAAACCCAGTAATGTTTGACTTGAATTTATTAACTTACAATCAGAAAAAATAAAATAAAAATGTAGCTAAAATGACTTGTTTTGGACAAACAAGTGACATTTTCTGTAATCTGTGAGATCCATTCAGTTTCGGTGAACTAGTAAAGAAAAATTAAAGATAAGTTTCATAGATTTTTAATAAAAAGAAGAAAAAAACCCCTTAAGATTTAAGTCATGTCCAGAACATCTGCTGCTCATCCAGATGTAACAGGTATCAATCTCTTCAGGCCTTCTCGGCGTTTTGAGCTGATCACAAGTTGCTGGCTACCACTTATCCACCCAGTTTTTAAGAACTGACTAGTTCCCAATGTGGGAAAAGATCTGAGGCTTTCCCTGACCGCAGGTCTAAAATTTAAATGTTACAATCCTGGAAGGTAACCAATGCGATATCAAGGCCATCTGCCCTCTTTTATAGTAATCAGTCTGCTAATTAGAGCGATAGGATAATATCTGGTGTGCTCTTTTATGATACAACTATACTGTAATTAAGCTGGGTGATAATTACGTGCCAAGGCATGAATAAAAGTGAAATTGTGTGTTATATAAGGCATCTTTTGAAGTCAATAAAGCTCTTTGCTTTGTTAATATGCATTGAGTCATCATGCACACTAAAAAAAGTGAACAGATGATCCAATTTAAATATATTAACTGGTCACAAGTAATTAAATTAAGGTTATCCAAGTTTATTGAGTTGTTAGTTTAAACAAATAAATTAACTTGGATAAACTTAATTCAATTACTTTTGACCAATTTCAGCAATTTAACTGGGACAACATTCTCTTTTTTCAGTACATAACACTCTAAAAACAAATGATCAACTCCAAACCAAAGTCTGTGAAACATTTTTTAAATGATGCCTTGAAAATGTGTGAAGACATCGTCAACATTTTCACTTTTTGGCACATTCTGCCAGAAGCTACCTATACACACCATGCCCAAAGTGAAACATGGTGGTGGCAGTATCGTGATAAGGGGTTGCTTTTCTCTAAATGGAGATGAATGGAGAACCTGTTACTTGAGACCTTTTATGCCTCCTGGAACAGGTTTACACTTGCATATAATAATGGCTGCAAACAGATGTGTAGATACACAACCAAATATATTTGAAAAGCAGAAGTGGAGCCTCCTGCACAATCAATAAAAATGCAGCAAGTGGTTTCTGGATGGCAAGTCAACAACAAAACGCTTGTCTTTTCCAGCAGCCATTGTACATGCAACGGTAAACCCAGTTGACTAAACGTTCAAATTAAGGCTGCTTACTAAATGAAGAGATTAAAAATATTTAAGTAAAAACATCTGTTTTAACTGAACATTCCTTTGTTTTTAAATAAATATTTAACTTTATGCCACAAGCCACAAAAACCCCCCCCCCACTATCACCATTTTTATTTCTCCGATTAGGAGACGACGGTCAATCTAGTTCATCAACTACAGGACTTAACTGCATCTGCAGGAGCCATGTGACTTACTGTAAATGATTTACTTCATCTCCACCACTGTGCTGCCTCTACATTTTGTGCCTGGTGTCTGTATTTGGATACAAGTGTCTATTTTATGGCCTGCGTCGGTGGATGGAGACGTTAGAGGAGCGCATGGTGTGTGTGCGTGTGTGTGTGTGCGTGTGTGTGTTTGTGCGCGAGGCTGGGCCGTGTCTGTTTAAGTGGACAGACCCCACCCTGCCACGATCAAAGGAAGTAATTGCAGCTTGTTTCCCGTAATTAAAACTCTCTCTGAAAACTGGACCACTTCAGACAAGTCGAGCAGAGAGGGAGAAAGGAGGACATGTGGGGCAGGAAGAGTGACTTCTGAGAAAAAAGGGAAAAGTGGGAGTGTGCTTTAAAGATTTTCCCTGTGTGTGTGTGTGTGTGTGTGTGTGTGTGTGTTGGGGGAGTTTATGGAGACCCACCTTTTGCAAACTGGAAGAGTTGAGCTGCGTCTTATCTATTATCTTTACAGCCACCTGGAAGCAAAACAAAATGTGTGAGCTGATCATTGCGCCTTTCTTTCCATTTATTACACTGTTGAATCTCACTTAGAAATCCCATTCTGTGACAGCAGAGCACACACAAATAGACCCACACTGTTATCTTTTCAGACACATATCGCTGGAACGATACAGTCCTGCAGCATGAGCACACAACCACAGCACAACACGGTTGCATAATAAGACAAAACAGAGAGAAACACACACACACGCGTGCGCACACACACACACACACACACAAGGGGATGAAGGATGATTTTGGCTCTAACCAATAATCAGGTCTACAGTTTATAATCCACCAAAGGAGACAAAGATGAAAAAGGAATGAAACGGGAAGAGAAAACTAAACAAAATTGAGAAATGGGAGGGATTTCAAGTGAGAGCTGCACAAGAACAAAAGAGCCGAGCACAAAGGCAGGGCAACAAAGAATCAGCTCTTCAGAAGGAAACAGAACAGGGAGGTCTACTTCTGCCTGATATTTCTGTCAACCAATGTCTTCCTTTCAGTCCTCTTTCTGGTTGTGCCTGTCTGACTCCCTCGTTTTCTTTGTGTGCCAGGAGGTCACGTGGGGCGTTATCAGGGTGTCAGGCACAAGGCTGTCACATATTGACAGAGCCCGCCCACTGCACTCTCTCACACACAGGATAGAAAGGGAAAAAAAAAAAAAATCAACAGCTGACTCAACTGGGCATTGGACCGGAGTCCAACACAGGCTCAGATTTTACCTCTTAAAGGGACAGACCGCCACCTTACATCACAGCTGTGGTTCGGAGGAAACCAGAAAGACTCGGGCTTCTCTGTTCAGCCTCACAACGCTGATACAATCTGCAGCAGCCGATGCACAAAAAGCTGTGCAAAGCTTTAGATCAGATCAAACTTGCTCTGTACCAAGTCTGAGAGCCCGTCGGTATCCTTAGCAACCAGGAATCCAGTCCAACACTGAGGACTCAGCCAAACATCAACCATCAACTCCTACTTTAACCATAGCATCAAATAAAGCTCAGCCTTGTAGGATTTTTTTGGTTTTATTTTACAATATTTGCTGAGATAAGACATCAAATTGTCAGGTTTGGATTCATTAATGTCATTTATATCACAAAAAGACATAAAGGAGTTTGGTTTTGGTTTTGAAGTAGTTTTCTAAAACAAAAGTTTGTTTTGGACCGATGTACAAGTTTGGGTTGATATTAATATCCAATATCCCTGATGCTGTTATCGTTGATAACTCATTTTTACAGATTTTCCTACGCTTTCAACACTTTGACACAATAGCAACTTTATGCCTCCCATCTGTTAGTCACAATAATGCAGGACATTTCAAATGCTACCGTTGATTGACACCAACTTCTGTGGCAGCACTTTCATGTTTTATAAGTAACGATTCAAAACTGAAAATGTTATTTCCTCTTCGACTCTAAAAATAAAACAGACAAGTCATACCAATGATAATTAGATATTTTTTCTAAACAACACAGATTGTGGCTTAAAATCAATTCAAGTAAAAACAATCATAAAACCAGATGATCCCAACGAAGCGATTTGCAGGAGGAGCGTGTTTTAAATGCTCACCTCTTTTGACGTGAGGACGTGTCGTGCCAGTTTGACCTTGGCGAAGTTGCCTTTGCCGATGGTTTTCAGTAACCGGTAGTTGCCGATGTGCGGCTGTTCGTCTGACGTGGCCGTGGACCCCGAGTTCGGACATCGCGACATGCTGTATCGACCAGTTGAAGACTTCTGCTCCTGCAGAAGCAGATGAGGAAGAGTTAGGCGGTGCAATGGGATGTGAATATGAACAGACCTGCAGACGAAAACGAAATCGCAGGCTTACTTTATGTAATCCTGAATATGTTAAACAAAAGTCTATATGATAATTGATTGTTCAATGGTGGTTCTGTTTTTGATCCAGATGTTCTTTTTGTTTTTGTTTTTTTTTGGGGGGGGTTTCAGATGCTAATGCTAACTTTGACTAAAGTTACAACCTTGCTTAAATGTGTAAAAGCAGTGATTTCTTTACCTGTTCATTAAACAACATGAACATCATAAGCCTCCTAGTTTAAACAGGTAGAGTGAAACTGAACTGCTTTGACATTTTTCCAAACCTTGTGTGGTTGAAAATAAGGATTAAAGGATGAATATGAAAATGTACCGATTTTTGAAGAGGACCGTTGCTACTGACTTCAAGTCTGTATCTCATTAAAAAGTGTCTAGGATTCTACTATTTCTGGATAACTATGTTTAGTTTGGATTATTTGGGGGGGGATGAGGGTCTAATAAATGTAGGGAATAATGTCAACATAGTCACCTTTAAAGATTCTCAAAGAGATTCTGCAGATTTCAACCCTTAGCAACAAATGTAATAGGATTCAAAGGACCTCTTAAGGGTAATAAATAATTCAGTTTGAGACATCTGTGTGGCCATTATCATGAAGCTACAGCTAGCGTGAAGAAAGTTTTATGAGCACAGAAAATGTGGGTTTCTATTTATTGACTTGGCTTGCTTTTCCCTGGTTACACGCAATAAAGACTGCTCAAAATATTCCAGACTCAAAAAACCTCAAGTATGAGGACAGGTCTGAGTCCAGACGGAAGTCATTTATTGTATCGTGTCATTTACCTTGTATTGCTTTCATAATTAATTACAATTTTTTTTTTTTTTTTTTTAGAAAATGTGTCCGTATTGTTGGGATTGCCATTTTCTCTGTTCAATGAGAGCACCAATTAATACCAGTAAATCTGAAAATAGGATCTAGCAGTTTTAGTGATACAAATCATATTTCTTTATATGTTTTTCAAGAGCAATATTGATGTTTGGTGGCGATTGCTCTTACACGCAGTTTTAGACGTACCTAAAAAAGAAGGAAAGTAGTTCTTATCGTCACTTATGACAATGGTACCACAATATATCATGATAAAAGTCCATATTGTCCACCACACGTCTGAAGTGTTGCAGCTTGGTTACAAGTTTGAAGCGCCTCTAGTTCTGAGGTGAAACTAAGATAAAATCTTAATATTATGAATAATTTAGCTATTCATTTTCCAAATAATGTGACATGTCTAAACCATATTTTTGGCACAAAATTGCAACTTGGTCCTCTAATCTTTAAAATGAAATTATGTTCCACACAAAATGAATTCAAATGTAAAAAGTTGTTGGTCTTCTGAGTGTGAATTGTCCGAAATAGGGGTGGGTAATACGGACTTAAAGTTTTATCACAATACTTTGCGGCACAATTGCAACAATAAAAGTGAGGATAAAAACTATTCTTTTTTAGGTGACTGTACGGCCGGGATTGTTTGTCACAGCAATTCCAGCTCCACAATTGCTGTGACACTTGCTGTGCTGTGATTTGAATCACACTGGGACTGCATTTTCAAATTTATTTATATTTATTGATGCTTTTGTTGAACAAACAGCAGAGAAAATAATAAAACTATCAATTCTGACAATAAGGACATGTTAAGTGGAATATTTATCGCGACAACAATAAGTCAAAATTATTAAGACATTTATCATGATAAATGATACGACAAATGCCCACCCCTAGTCTGAAAGCAGTGAATGTACATCCTCAGCAGCAGTTTGGTTCTTACTCTATCAAAGATCAAAATATTTTAAGACATTCTATAAAGACAAATATAAACTAAAATAACTTTAGCTGATCCTGCAGTAGACAGTAGGCCCTTCATCTCAAACCCACGCTGGAAAAAGAAAACAAAACCTTGCTGTGCTGGCAAGTTTTGCATGGCTGGCAACCGTGATTGGGTTTCAACTCGAGGAAAGGGTCACGGCAATTGTGTGTGTGTGTGTGTGTGTGTGTGTGTGTGTGTGTGTGTGTGTGTGTGTGTGTGTGAATGCGTCTACGTATTTCCATATGTGTGATCTGAGCGGACAGGTGAAGCGGATCAGGGTCAGAGGAGAGGACGACTGGCTCCAGGGTGACGAGACGCAAACACACACACACACACACACACACACACACACACACACACACACACACCCACACACACACACACCCAGGCTATGAAACAAACAGCGACAGTGCACTGAAACTAGAATACGCTGTTGTGCACACAAACGTCTAACAAGACTGACGTGTGTTGCCGTACACAGAGGCAGAAAGTGAACACACCTCTCTGAAGTTTGCTATCAGCAGCAAACATGGCGGCCAATGACATCTACACAAGAAACGCAGCCGGTAATTCTTCAGTCCTGACGCAAACTTGACACACAGAAGGAAATTAAAGCTGCAAATTACAGAGACTCCACATTTTTATTCCCCTGCCGTCAAGTCATGGGAAACGAGAAGCTTCCTGATTACTCCACCGGCTTAGTGTGGGCTTTTTAGCTCCAGATGGTATAATCTAATGGCTGCATCTCTGCCTCCCCCCCACAAGCTTCCTCATGCTGACAGCGCAGACTTGAATAAAATGTAATAGGCCAGATTAAGCATTAACAAAAGAAGGGGAACAAGGATTTAAAAACAAATGACAGTTACTCTAAACCCAGAGGACAAGGCAAAAAGGCCCTTATGTCGTCTTGTGGGAGGGATGAGGCCAATGATTTTTATTTTTGGACTATGTGGGTGAGACCAACTGTCCTATATAAGCGCCATTAAAGACAATAAGAAGCAAACGGAGCATTCGGAGTCAATTTGACGATCGACTTCTGCCCTCATGTTTCAGGACTCTAACCGTTTGTGACCAACTCCTCTCCACATTGATTTTACTCAAGTTCTGCTGACTCAAACAGCATCAGCAGCTCATATTTTATTCTTGACAAAATATCTGTAGGTAAAACGTTTTCAAAACAATGAGCCACAACATTTTAATGCCCTGTTAAATCCTGTCAATCCTTGACGGGAAAGCTAAACGGAAAAGCTGTCAATACTGCATGGTGAAGCTAAAAGACTGACAACAGCCCAACAGGCTACCACGCAAACTTTTAAAGTGCTCCCACGTGCCGTGAAAGTGCTGCAGCAGGCAGAGGAGGAGCTGGGAACTAACATGAAAGTAATAGAGAACCTTTATTTTAAAAAAACAAACAAAAAAAACCCCTCAAAAATCTGAATTTGTTCCAGTGCTTCCAGGCCACGCTGAAAACAACCTTCAGTGTGGAAGTTATTAGAAGAAGACTATCCATTCTGAGCATTACTGTCGTGTATAAAAATAAAGGCACATAGAGAATGCAATTCAAAAGGAAATACATTTTTTCCACATCTCTCCAGATTGCTTAGGCTGCTAGAGAGAACAAGACTTTCAGCAGATACCAGGAAGGCTGAACATGGAGAGACCTATGGAGAGGGTAATGTGTTTTTACCTTGATGTAAAAAAAAAGAAAAAAAAAAGGGACTAATTTGTCAGTTTTAAAACTACAGTTATGACACATCTGAAGCAGCTGCAGGTTAACTATCTGAGCAGATAGCCCAACTAATTAGGTTAATGGTATTTTATTACAATCCCCAAAGAGCAAAACTGTAAAAAGCTATACTATTCTGCACCGCAGACTCTTAAAAACTACTGTTAGCTGTGATTTGTATACGTAATTATTTACGTGCTTACATGTGTGTTAAGATAAAAATAAATCTAGTTAACGCTACAGCTATAATAATGATTGTTAAAATGTGTGCTTTGTTTTGAATAAAAACAGGAATATGGGGTATTTTTACACAATGTCATGACACTGAGAATCTCATCAGCTTTCACTAAATTACTTATAAAAACGGTAAACTTTAGCAAATGTCAAGATTGAAATTGTAGACTTTTACTACTGCCACAACAGTGGAGGCACTTTTAATGTGAACAACCAAGAAGAAAACTGCCTCTCAATAAAACATCCTTCAATTTTTAAGATTACGTCTCCCTCATCTCCGATACATTCGCCTTTTCACTCGGCCTTTAAGAATGATCAACCCTGACAACTATAAAGCTTTTAGATTTCTGGCACGATTGGATAGAGTGTCTTGCAAACCAGATATGAGAGACTATAAACTGCTCTTTAGTCTTCCTGCTCTCCTATCCTCTTTCATGTCGGACTATTTTTGCCTTCTGATTCTTCCTTCATTTTTGGGCAGCTGCAGGCCGAGCCAACCCTCCTTACTAACACACACACACACAGCCAGGAATACAAGCTGATAGCCACCTCTCGCCATGGGTATAATTATAGACGTGTCGGAGGACAATAAGTGAAATCATTGTTTAATTCTCATATTACTCTGATGTTAAGTTTAACTCAGGAGTACCAGCAGGGAACTACAACCCAGGAAAAAAAGGAAAGACATTTTGTGGCATAGGTTTGATTTGATGTGTTAGAGACTTTCAGAATGAAGTGTCTACAAGTCGTCCCTCAATCAAAACCCATGTTTAATGACAGAACTTATCAAATATTTCCCCTATTGTTATTTAAAACCTTACATTGTGAAAGTAAGAGGTAATATTTGCCTAGCGGAAATAAAGGTAGCCAACATTACTGTCAACAAATCTAAGAGGACGTGCTTTTATTTTGAAGAATCTGAAATGTCACGCGACTATAGTCCTAAACTTTAAGTTCAAGTCTCGAGTCTCAGAAGCAGCTTCAGTCCGAATCTCTGCCTTTAGATGCCGGTTTATTACTGAAGTCAACATACTAAATTCACCGTTTTATGGTTTGTTAACATTCACCATCTACACTCACCAGCCACTTCATTATGCAAACAACTGTTAACACAAATAGAAAACCAGCCAGACACCTGGCAGCAACTCAA